GGTCTTCTTATTCTCTCTGCCAAGGGACCAGCTGACTGTACAGTCCCAGGTTGCCTTTAAACACACACACACACACACACACACACACACACCTGTCTCACATGTGAGATGTGTGTATGAGCAATTCCTTCTGTGTGGAGGAGATCTCAGCCCCTCCTAGACTGTCTCCCCCTCCCTAGCAATATTTGGCAACCTGCCTGTTGGCATTATTTAGACTCTTATCTCCGCTGAAAAAACATGCAACCCCTGTTACAGTCACTGGGGAAAGCACTTGATTCTACAGTTACCAGCATGCTCTCTTTCATCATTACAGCTTCCAGTAAGTTTTTAAGTGCAACAAAGAAATGGCAGCTTGATGGCCACCCTTTTATATCATAACATTCATAACATTCTAGAAAGTTTGGACTTCTGGGGGAGGCATGGTGAACTGAAGATGTCTCCGTGAAAGCAGAGCTGATGACCGCGGCAAAGATTGAAGAACTGGTCAGTAGACTGGATCTTCAGAACCTCTCCAGACAAGGGGAAGACAGGAGATCACCCATATGTGCTCCAGATAGCTGCTTCTCACAAGGAGACCACAGAACAGTGGTTTTCCATGGGTTTGAATGCCAGGATATGAAGGGATCAGCCATCTGGCTTGCAACTGCAGTAGAGCCCTTTAAGGGACACTAAGTTCGCAAGCCTCACTTTCTAATCACTTTTGGAAATTGTCTATTAATCATCTTAAAGCCATTAGAGACCTTCAGAACAACAAGTTTGAAAAGTCACCAGGTGAGTTTAGCTTCAACTCTGAACAAAAGAAAAATTAATTATAAGAACTTAAGAACTTGAAGAATTTAAAATAAACAGCAAAAAGCTAAATAAGATTTAGATCTAAGAAAGTTATAAACAGATTAAGGGTCCAGTTAAATCTGGAATGTTGGCTTTTACTGTAAGATTTTGGAATTAACTATAAAAAATAAACAGCTTCTTGTGGGAACCAGAATTATTTTGGCTATCTTAGGTTCATAACAAAGATAAGCGACTTTATGATTTTAGAAACTGGACAATAGACGGGATTAAAGATTCTAAGTAGAAGGGAAGAAAAAATACAAGGCTGATTTTGGTGTTGGTTAGTACTGGGACTTACAAAATAACATAAAACATCATAACATTGGAAATATTAAAGGAGATCTTTGAATAATGGAGCCAGAAATTAGTAGCTACAATATCAACAGTGTCAGTAATTATGTCTGAC